ATCTCTATCTCTCTCTCTTTTCCACTTTCCCTCTCTCTATCTCTCTCTCTCTCCTTCTCTCTCCCCTTTTCTTCACCCCCTTCGCTAATTTGTAAAATGTGTTTAACTTGGCCGCCTCTTGGTTCGCTGACTTTGCACCTTATGGCAGCTTCAGACCGGATTTGAAACTCCTTTTTTTATCTCTCTTCTTTTCTTTCTTTCTTTCTTTCTTCTCGCTATCTCTGTCTGTCTATTTCTCTTTCTTCTTTCTTTCTTTCTTTCTTTCTATCTCGCTTTTCTCTCTCTCTTTCTTTCTTTCTGCTTTCTTCTCTTTCTCTCTCTTTCTCTTTCTCTCTCTTTCTCTTTCTTCTCTCTCTCTCTCTCTCTTTTCTCTTTCTCTCTCTCTCTCTCTCTCTCTCTCTCTCTCTCTCTCTCTCTCTCTCTCTCTCTCTCTCTCTCTCTCTCTCTCTCTCTCTCTCTCTCTCTCTCTCTCTCTCTCTTTCTTTCTCTTCTTTCTCGTTTTCTATCTATCTGTTGTGTGTGTTGTAAAAAAATGTGAGTTGTTAGGGTCTCTTGTTTTTCTTTTGGCGGAGGTGATGACTATCGACACATGGATTAAGAGAGAGAGAGAGAGAGAGAGAGAGAGGAGAGGGAGGAGAAGAGAAGAGAGAGAGACGGAAGAGGAGAGAGAGAGAGAGAGAGAGAGAGAGAGAGAGAGAGAGAGAGAGAGAGAAGAGAGAGAGAGAGGCAGACAGGCATACACAGAGAAGAGAGAGATTAAAAGCAATTTCAGTTGAACTCTTACAAAAACGCCCCAATATGCGGAGAACGACAGGTGCTTGCCGACCCCCCACCCCCTCCCTCCCTCCCTCCCTTCCCCACCACCCACCCACCCACTCCCCTCTCATCACATCCCCACCCCTCCCTCTTCCAACCCCTCTCCCCCACCATACCCTCCCCCCTCCTTCTCTTCCAACCCCCTCTCCCCACCATACCCTCTCCCCTCCCTCCCTCCTTCCCACCCACCCACCCACCACCCTCTCTACCACCATTCCCCCTCCCTCTTCCACCCCCCTCTCCACCCCCCCCTCCCTCCCCCCTCTCCACCACCTCCCCCCACCCACTCTCTGCTTGCATCGGAGTGGCCTTGGGCATAAAATACCCCTCGGGTTGGGTACGAGTGACACCCCCCCTCCCCCCCTCAGTATTACGCTGGAGTAAGATGGCACCCTGATGGCCCTGCGTCGGGCGTGAATGTCTGGCACTCTGTCGGTTTATATATATATATAGGTTTTGAAGGTGGTTGGTGGGGGGTAGGGGGTAGGGGTGAGGGGTGAGGGTTGAGGGTGGGGAGTGTAGGCGAGGTGGGGTGGGCGTGTATGGGTGAGATTATATAGGGGTAGGTGTGTGGGTGTGGGTTTGTGTGTGTATGTGTGTGTGTGGGTTGTGTGTGTGTGTGTGTGAGTGTGCACGTACGTGAGTGCCGAATGCGTTGTGTACGTAAGCATGTCCGTGAGCCCTAACATTATATGTACGCATGCATGTACGTATGAACGTTGAATGAGTGTGCGTAGTTTATATCCGTCCGGTCACGCTGCCGGATTCACACGCACGCGGGACGGAGTGGAGTGCGAATCACATGAGTGCGTTTTGGCCGCGCGCCCGTGCCAGGGCCACGCCCACTTCTTACTGAGGGGGAGGGAGAGGGGGGAGAGGAGGAGGAGGGGTGGGGAGAGGGGGGACGGGGAAGGGAGGGGGAGAGGAGAGGGGGAAGAGGGGGATGGAGGGGGGGAGAGGGTGTGGTATGTTTGCTTGTTATTGCGTGAGAGGATTTTTGTTGTTGTTGTTTTTCTTCTTCGTCTTCCTTTTCTGTTTTTTTCTTTCTGTTCTTCTTCCTATGCCGCTTCTTTTTTCTTCTTTTCCCTCTGCCTCTTCTTCTTGTGGTTCTTCTTCTTTTTCCTCCTCTGCTTCTGCTTCTTCTTCGTCTTCTCCTCAGCTCCACCTCCTTTTTTTCCTCTATTTCCTCCTCTTCTTCTTCTTCTTCTTCTTCTTCTTCTTCGCTGAGGTCGGATGGCGGTTCGAGGAGGGGAAGGGGGAGGAAGGGGGGATGGCGCCGGTTTCTCTATTTCCTCTTCTTTTTCCTCTGTTTCTTCTTTTCCTCTTCTTCCTTCTTCTTCTTCTTCTTCGTATGGAGGTCGGAATGGCGTTCGAGGGAGGGAGAGGGGGAAGGGGGGATGGCGCCGTGTTTCCTCTATTTTCTTCTCCTCTTTTTCTTTTTCCTCTTCTTCCTCTTCTTCTTCTTCTTCTTCGTTGGAGGTCGGAATGGCGGTTCGAGGGAGGGGAAGGGGGAAGGGGGATGGCGCCGTGTTTCCTCTATTTCCTCTTCTTTTTCCTCTGTTTCTCTCCTCTTCTTCCTCTTTTTCTTCTTCTTCTATGGAGGTCGGAATGGCGGTTGAGGGAGGGGAAGAGGGGAAGGGGTATGGCGCCGTGTCTCACCCTTGCGCCTTCTGCCAAGACTCTGACGCCGAGACATCAGTGCCCGTCGGCCTTGACTCTGAAGGTGGGCTTGGGTCGGCGAGGGGAGGAAGGCGGGAAGATAAAGAGGGGAGGGGAGGAGGAGGGGAGAAGGAGGCGGGAAGATAAAGAGGAGGAAGAGGAAGAGGAGGAGGGGGGAGAGGAGGAGGAGGGAGGGGAAGGAGGAGGAGGAAGAGGGGAGGAGGAGGAGGAGGGGGGAGAGGGGGAGGAGGAGGGGGGAAGGAGAAGATGAGGAGGAGGGAGAGGAGAGGAGGAGGAGAAGGAAGAGGAGGACTTGATGATGGAGGAGGAGGAGGAGGAAGCGGAAAGATGAGGAGGAGGAAGAGAAGAAGAAGAGAGTAAGCGGGATGGTAAGGGGAGCAAGAGGCATGAAAGAAGGTCGAAAAGGGGGAGAAAGGGGAAGAGGAAGGGTTAGAAAGGAGAAAGACAGACAGACAGACAGAGAAAGGAAGGAAGAAGGATGGAAATGCAAAATTATATATATATGTGTGTGTGTGTGGTGTGTGTGTGTGCGCGCGCGGTGTGCATATGCATATGTATATCTGCATATCAGTATATTGCGTTTTGCAGAGCGAAGGCCAGTGGAGGCGGACTGTTGCTGTGGAGGTACGAAATGGCGGGGGGGGGGGGGGGTGTGCTTGCGTCTGCTTTTCCCAGTCGCTTGGCATCTTCTAAGTCATTTTTTTCTCTCCTTCTCCTCCGTCATTTATATTCGTTTTATATGTCTCTTGGTTTTCTTGTGTCTCTTCTTCTTCCTCCTCCTCCCCTCCTCCTTTTTTTCTCTTTTTTTTCTCCATCTCTTCTCTTCCTTCTCCTTCCTCCTTCCTTTCTAAAATCCCATTTCTTCATCATCATCATTTTTTCTTTCATCATTACCATCGGGGTTTATTCACCAATTTCACTAACCATCGTCCATCTCCCATCCCCCTCCTTTCTCGCATTCTCCTCCATGCACTCTTTCCGTTTTCTTTCCTCTTTCGTCATGTCGCTCTCTCATCTGCAGCGGAGACACGATCGTCCTTCGCCTTCTCTCTCGCATATTTATCACGGTGTTCGGTCTTCCTCATCTCTCGGTTATTCCTTTGTTTCTTTCTTAGTCCGTTTCTCCTGTTTCTTTCTTAGCCCGTTTCTCCTGTTTCTTTCTTCGTCACGTTCCTTTTAATTGGTTATCCTCTTTCTCCTTTTTTTTCTCATCACTCGTGCCTTCGTCTCCTCTCTTCTTCTTCTCTTCCTCTTCTTCTTTTTATCATTATTTTCTGCCTTCTCATTTATTTGAAAGAGACCCATTAAAGAAAAATGGAAAAAACGGAAAAAAAGGAGGAAATAGGGAGAAAAAAAAGAGAGAGAGAAAAGAAAAATGGGTATGACATGACAAGAAGAAAGAAGGGTATGGAGCAATCAGAATTAGGGGGGAGGGGGGGAGGGGAGAGGGAGAGAGAGGGGACGGTTAGAAGGCAAGATTTTGTACTCAAGTCAAGAGTGTCCTATTGTTGGTGAGAGACGAGGTGTATTACAATGTTGGGTGTGATTTGCATTGTCGTTGGCTGACTTCTGCGCCCTTCGCCGTGTTCTTCCAGATATCATCATTTCGATATCATATTCCTGTTTTGTCCTGTTTTGTTTTGATTTTCGTTCTTATGTTTGTTTGTGTTTTTTTCTTTCCTTTTTTTATCAGTTTTTTTCTTTCTTTCTTTCTTTCCTCTTGTGTGTCTTTCTCTCCCACTTCTTCCGGTCGTATCGTTATTTTCTTGTTTTTGTTCGTTTACATTTTTTTTCTTTTTTTTTCGTATCCCTCTCTCCCTCTTTTTCGAACCATTATCATCTCTTATCACCGCATTCCCCCTCATCATCCACTTTTATCTATCCCCTCATACCCTCATCACCCCCTTTCTCCAGTTATTCTTCCCTTTCATTTCGCTTTCTTTTTCCAACCATTATCTCTCCCTTATTCCTCCTCATCACCCTTTTTCCCAGTTATTCTTCCCTTTCATTTCGCTTTCTTCTCTATCATTATCTCTCTCTCTCTCATTCCCATCACCCCTTTTCCCAGTTATTCTTCCCTTTCATTTCGCTTTTCCTTCACCGCATTTCTGCTTTTTTTTCGACTTCAGATGATTGAATTACGAGCGCAAACAGTTTTAAGGCGGGGATGCGATTTTTTCCTTATATGGACCGAGGACAGTCTGCTTATGGTCTGATCCATTTTCGGAATTTGCGGGTTATTTTTCTATGTTTTCTCTTATTTTTTTTTATCTTTCCCAAGTGGGGAGGGGGTGGGAGTGTTCTTATTTTTACCTTTTAAGTGTTTTTTTATTTTTTTTCGTGTGTGGTAGTTCGGTTTAAGACTTACGCGTGTGTTTTCAGTAAAGTTCTGTTAATATGAATAAGCCATTGTAAATGGTGTATATATTTGTTTTTCCAAATCTTTCCCTTAATTTCCGTCGTGTAACTAACATCCCCCTTTCTCTCTCTCTCTCCCCCATCAGTGTGCCACTTGAAGCTCGCCCTCCAGCTGTCCGACGAGGAGTGGGCCCGGGAGTTCCAGGTCGAGAAGCCCACCAAGTGCGACCGCAACCTCGTCTTCTACGCCGCGGACCCAACCCTCCAGCGCCGCCGTGGAGATCGCCCATCGCCTCGGATTAAGATGGAGTGGCGGGGGGTTTAGTGTGGGGGTGTTGAGGAGGGGGGAGGGGTTTGGGAGAGGAGAGGGTCTGGGAGAGGGAGAGGGGTTGGGTTGGGTTGGGGGAAAGGGAGGGGGTTTGGGTTTGGGTTGGGTTTGGAGAGGGAGAGGAGGGGGAGGGGTTTGGGGTGAGGGGGTTTAAGGTTTGGGGAGGAGGGGATTTAGGTGTTGGGGAGAGGGAGGGGTTTGGGGTGTTGGGGAGAGGGAGGGAGGGGTTAGAGGTTTAGGAGGGAGGTTTAGAGGGAGAGGGAGGGGAGGGGGTTTGGGGTGTAGGTGGAAGGGGGGGTTTAAGTGTTGGGGGTTGGAGTTAGGGAGAGGGGAGAGGGGGACACATATTGTTGTGGTTTGGAGTAAAGGTTGTACGGGATGTTGTAAGGGGTGGGGGTAAATACTTTGGTTAGGAGGAAGGGGGTGTTGGGTGAAGAGTCCTTGGAGGTGATATTCCAGAGGGTTAGTTTTTTTTTTTTTTTTTTTTTAATGAGGACAGTGACTTAATCGGTTTCATGAATGGGATCTTGTTTTGAGGAGTTTCAGAGATTTCATTTTCATAAGAGAAAGGAAGAGAATCATTTTAAGTTATGGATATTTGGATTTAATACTTAGTTGATCAATTCCAGTAGTTTGCTTTTGTTGGATGAGATTATAGGTTACATGAAGAGTGATGAGAGTGGGGGGAAAAAACTCCTATTCTTGTAATTTTTCCAACATTTTCCCAGATATAGTAATATTTTTGTTCAGAAGACCCTCTCTCTCTCTCAAAAGGCATAAAAAAAAACTTTTTATATAAGGAATGCAAAAATCATACCCTCTTTTAACCAGCTCTTTTCCCCTCTTTTCTCTCCCCCAGGTCCAGGCACTACATCGGTGGGTGGGAAGAGTACAGCAAGAAAACCGGCCAGCCCCTCACCAAGGCCCAAGAAGCCACTCCCTTCAACAACTACTACCAGAACCAGTTTGATCAGTACTTCCTGTAGATACCAGGAATGAAAAACAGAAAATAAAAGATAATGGGAAAAATAGATCGTGAAATAAGAAATAGAAAAATGTTTCTTTGAGGAGAAAAGATAAAGAAGGAAGTTGAAGTTACTCGAAAGTTGTGCTGCATTCTTTTCAGAGCTGTAGGGTTGCCCTTGCACATACTCATAGAGATGGTTAGAGGTTTATCACATAGTTAGTCTTATTTTTTCTATTTACACTCACGCTTCATCATCATCTTTTCCTGTCTCCTTTACTTTTAAAGATTTTGTCCAGATGTGGGCAATGCTTCAGCTTTGTGAAGGATGGAGTTCAGTTATTCAGAGGAAAATAAAATACAGAGATATATATACACAAGGAAATTAATGTGAAGAAAAGGGTATGATTTTCTTTCGGAAGAGGACGATGACCAGATGAATTTCATGACAAGGAAGTGAATAATAAAAAACTTCTGAAATAAGAACACAGTTAAGGTTATGAGAGAGTGCAAACCATTCAGTATAGAAAGAGAGGAAAATGAAATGAAAGACGAGAACGTACACTCAAGGAAAGTAATATATACGAGAAGAATGGAAGAATTCCTTTTTCGAACCTCTTGTTAGCGCTGACAAGAGAGCAGAGAAGCACCAGAAAGAAAGGCATTGATATTAATCCCTCCCCTTCCTTAGTCCCCCAAATGTTGTACCAGTAAACCAGTAGATAGTTGTCACTCGTCAAGGGTGAAATTTCTGCTCCTACTTCATACCTCTTTGAGTAGATAGTTGCCCACCAGTATATGGGAACAAAGTTTCTACTGTGTTTTACATAGATGTTGGAGGCTTGAGTAGTCATCCTCTGTGCTTGGATTAAAGAGAAGGGAAATGCAACAGAAAATTGTTGGAAAGAAATAACAGAGAGGATTCATGTGCAGTACTGTATTTGAAGAGGGTAAAACGAAAAAAAAAGTACCTGTAGGCAGGTTGTGATGCAGACAAGTGTATATTATACTCGCTAGTAGATCTCAATGAAATGTAATGTAATATATAATACCTAATACTCCTGCTCTCATTTCCAGTGTACTAGTACAGCTGTATTGGATAGACCTTACAAAGATCATTAATAATTTTCTGTTAGTCTTTTCACCTTCATCTGAGGTAGCCAAGAAAGCTGGTGTCAATCTGTTCTGTTAAGTTATTGCTCCTTTGATATGAATTATTCCTGAGTTACAGAAATGTGAGGTTTTGAAGAGTAATTATTCTTTTCATTCTGGTAGAGGTTACTTTTCAGTGGATTCTGATTTGCATATCTCATAATTCTTTTGTGTAGTTTTATTTTTCATCATTTACATTTTTGCTTTTGTTGGTTTCTGTCAAGACAAAAATTGGAAAATTTCAATTATTTTTGTCTCTATGAAGAAGAAAAAAGTATTATGATAATTTTGGTTAGTGGGGTTCTATCACTGCACAATTTATATACCCTTTCAGTGGGGTTTACATAGGGGCTCATCTGTTACAGAAGCACAGGATTGCAAAGTATGTTGCACATGATGGTTGGAGCTCAAGAAATGTGGACTTCCCTTTACTGAAACAAACAGTAATAGGAATATGATGTCTGGAGAACAAGAGAGTAAGGAAAGTGTAACTGTGGCCTCAAAAATAGGTGTACGAAGACTTGATGCAAAAATGTGCTATGAACTACAGCCACTGCTATGGAAACTTTTATTTTTTATTTTTTTGAATCTGCTTTGATTTTTTTTTTCCTTGAGAGTATAAGATAGGGTAGGAATGCATACAAAGAAGTGTTAAGGATTGCTTATCAGTTGGAAAGTAATTCTGTGACTTATGTGCCTTATGTAACGCCATCTCGTAGAAAAGACAAGGGAATCTCCTTTTTATTACAGACTATTAGAATTTTTATACTCAAAAAGCAATTCAGATGTATTACCTTGTCTATTCAGTCTTAAAAAAGATAGGTAAAAACTTACAAAAAAACAAAAAAATTATGACAGTTTGGTAGCCTTTTTTTTTCTTTTCTTTTTCTTTCCTTATTGTCCTTTCTTTGTCTTAGTCTTCCTTCTTTCTTTTATAAAGGATTAAACCTTGAGGCATGTCCCCTTCTTATAATCTAATTATAGCAAAGGAACATGCATCAAGGATATTTGTAAATCCTCACAAAAAAAAAGAAAAAAAAAGTAAAACTAAAAACTTCTACTGTAGGAATTAAAAACTTTCAGATTCGTAATTTTGGAAGAAGGATTAACAAGGACTCTGGAACCTGCAATTCGCTTGTTATTTGTTTTGAGCGCATTGTGGGATTCATCGACCTTGGAAGAGCATGCCGGGATATGAGTCGAGTCAAGATATATCATAAAAAAAAGATAATGATTGAAGCTGCGACTTGTGTCCTGGAAAATAAATGGATGAGAAATGTTTTGTAATACATATTTTTTTTTATTATTATTATTATTCGCAGTCACTTATATGCAGATCATCCTAGACATAACCCCCCAATGCTACTACCCCCCCTCCCCCCTTCTTGACGTGTGACAAACTCATCAAGGTTGTACAACAGCCAACAAATGACTTTAGAGTAGTTAATAAGCTATAAGGATATAAAACTAGTATCTCAAGTCCAGAGTGATCTGTATTGGTGGTGATTATTATTATTATTATGATGGTAGGCTGCTAAATAAACTGTTAGTGATAAAAAAGGTGTTTTTTTATATTCCTAATCATGCAAGAAAATGTTTTAATTATTTATGGTTTGTCATGAAGGTAATTTTTAAAGATATTATTCCTAATTGAATAATTATATGGTATTTAGACTATTCTATACTTATTCAACATTTTATATGTATTGGTTTATTTTCTTCTAATTCTCAAGGATTCTTAAAAACAGGTTTTGTTCATTTTTTATTAGTTTTAAATATAAAAACAATATATGAAATCTTTAACCGCAATAGAGGCTATGTAAAGTTAACTATTGCCATAAGAATAGACAAATGTAAAGTAATGACAAAACAAAGAAAAAAAAGGTTCATACAATCATACAAACAATGTCAGACATATAACAACATTCATGTAAATCTTAACTATTATCAGACTTCCAATTATTCTCATTTACATCTTACAAAACTGATCATCAATGAAGAAGACATGAACAATATCAACCTCCCAAAAGCTGGGATAAAAAAATAATAATTCATAATTGTAATATGTATTTACACATACGAGTTCAATTTAGTAAGCATGAAACTTTAACCTTACCAACTAAATACACACTGGTATCGATGAAATGAGGAAATTGTTATGAAAGAGCGATGAATTGAAGAAAGGAAAAAAAAGAAAAGGAAAACAAAGACTGAAAGGACATTTTGTTTTCTCGCTCGCTTGCATTAAGGCGTGTAAGTGAGGTTCAGCGGCGGCAATCTGGTGGCTGCCGAGCGATCTCCCCCATGGCTGACTCTCGGCCTTACTCGACTCACAAGTACACTCCCACAGTCGTCCTGCTGTTGGAAAAAAAGGAATAGAATCAGGAGGATGTGTTGGCATATTACACTAATGGAAAAAGGAAGAGGTAGAGAACAAGTTAATTGGTGATGAAGGGGGGGAAGAAGAAATTTGGAAAATAATAATAAACAGGAAGAAAAAGAGCAGACAGGAAGGGAGAAAAGATGAGGAGACTGAGTGAAACAGGATAAAGGAGGGGGGATGAAGCTGAAAGAATAAGAGTATGAAGGGAAAAGAACAATTTATAGAAAACTTTCAGTAATTCCTTAAAAGAAAATTGATACTTGATTGCATATCGATTTTTGAAGAACTGAAGCTGTAGGCACTTACTGTATTCTGTTCTATGTGCTGTCTTCTGTTGGCAATTTCCCTTAGCATTGTCTTCCCACTTTCCCGTGTCTGTGGGAAAGAGAACAAAAAAAATGAGAGAAGAAACATAAATGAGAACAGAAAATGCTGAAAAAAATAATAGATGTACATCTTATTAGAATTCAAAACCTTACTAAGAACAAAAATTGATGAATCATCCACTACTATGTGTGGAATTCATGATGAACAGATTGCAACAGGAACAATGAAGGGAAGGGCAAGAAAACACACGAATATGCCGAAGGCCTTTTCGCTATATATGGCCTGACGAAGCAATAGTGAAAAGGCCTTCGGCATATTCGTGTGTTTTCTTGCCCTTCCCTTCGTTGTTCCTGTTGCACCCACTACTATAAAACCATGCAAAAATATGATCTAAACTTCTACAACAACCAATACTAGAAAGAACGGAGCGCTCAATTTCAACCCAATAGTAGCACATCTGAGACACAAGTGTAAAATAGATATGCAAGTCTACACTTATACTAACCTGGGCAGTGCACTTTTAAGACCTAGTATTCATTGTTCATAATTCTATTTCTAATGTTTTGTGAAGGGATATAATAAATCTAGAGACAAAGATATAATTTCACTTTTAAGAGTTACATGTCTGATATTTACTTCTCAGATTTACTACATAAGCCTTTAGCAATCAATAATTCACTAACTTCCTCACCAAAAGTGTTTCTTTTCCTTCTTTCCTCCTTCTCTATAATAATAAAGTATTTGGCATAAATCCTCTTACCTCCATAAACAACGTGCACTTCTGGGCATAGTCATAGGCAAGGTCAAGCATGTTCTTCTGCAGGTAATGACTCGTCAGGAATTGGTAAACCTGGCCTCGGTCCTCGCACCGGTCTGCATCCTCGGTCTCTTGCAGGTAGCGCTCATAGAGGACAGCCGCTTGCTCGCCCTCCCCTAGGCGACTGTACAGCCTTAAGAGAAACAAAGAATTATTGTTTTACATTGTTTTGTAGGTTAATATGGAAATGTAAATGACATACGAAGGAGGGAATGGCTTCATGAAGTTGTTTAGCTGGGGAGCATGGAAATTTGAAAAGAGAAAAAAAGGAAAATATTTTCATGCTCCTTTAGGATATATGGAAATTTAAAAAGAGAAAAACAGGGTGGTTGATTTCTGAAATTTCTAGCATGATAAAAAAGAGGAAATTGAAACTGACTGATTTTTTGAAGCTGTATCTGGGGGGAAATTCTGAAAATTTGAAAAGGAAGGAAGGAAGGAAGGATTGCTGCTGCTCAGTTATTCAGCATGTTGCAGGAATACAAATTTCAACAGAAAAGGACATTGGGGAAAGAAGAATGTTATTGATGTTGACTAATGTCTGGTGAAAAAATAAATAAACTAACCAAAGTTTCTGTAATTTCTTATGAAGTTCTTTCCATATGTCATTCAAATCTTCATAGCTTCCCATAAAATACTGACCATCACACTCTGAGAGGAACATGCAAAATCTCTATAGGGCTGAGGGAATCAAATAACTCGTGCATCGTTGCTCAAAGACTTGAATGTGAGATCATAAAAACTACTAATCTTTGCCACTAGACTGTTGTTCTACTTTCCATATTTTTTTTGGTATGTAGTTCCCAAAAAAGGCACTATTTCCCCCTAAAAAAGAAAAAAGAAAAGAGAAAAAAAAAAAAATGCCTTTGTTAACTATTGCCAGACAGCTTGGGCATGGAGTACCTTTTTTCATGTTTTATTCTTATCAATGCTTTCATGTACTTGTTACTTTGTAAACTTCATAATACATTTGCTGGCTAACACACATCACCAGGACCTCGTCACATGAAAGCCATATTTCAAGTGGGCAAAGGCTCTAAAATTTGAATTCTCTGACAATTTTCTTTAGGTTTTCCCCTCATTTCTTTGTTATCTGTCATATCAACGTGAAATGTTATAATAAAATGCTGTAGAATCCATCATAACAAACATACATTTAAAATAAGTAAAAATTTGGGAGGGCTATCATTCATAGGAGAGTTTTTCCCTCCATGCAAAATATGAAACGGCTCTTAACTCAATTTATACCAAGAGGGCACTGCCCATTCTAACAATCCCCTTAACACTTCAGACACACCTTTAATTCCCTTTCCCTATTCACCTAAAAACTCACTTTGCCAGCCGCATCAACGCAATGCCCTCAATGTCTCCTACACTGTGGGCCTTCAGGAAACACTTCTTGGCCTCGTCCGTCTTCTCCAGCTTCTCGTAGCTCTCCCCAAGAGCAACAAGCATCCTAGAGTCATTAGGGCGTAGTTTCTGGGCCTGGGATCAGGGAATGGTAAGAAAAGGAGGGATAAGAATGTTGGCTTCTTGTTAAGGGTTGTAAAGCAAAGGTACAAGTTTATGTTCAGTGCATGCGAGCAATTTTCTCCAAAGAGTTACATATTGGCATAAATACAAAGTTTCAAATTTAACGTACAGAGTATAAACCATTCTCTTCCATAATAATTGCCTCTCTAATGTGTTTGTCTATCTATCTCTCTATCTGTCTGTCTGTCTGCATATTTATTCATATATTTCATTTATTCGCTTATCCATCCATCCATCCATTCATCCATCCATCTATATACATCTACCTACCTATCTATATATATCTATATATCTATCTGTCTACCCACCTATCTATAACAAGTAAACAGTAATTTGTTGCTATGGTTGTTTTTACAATAATGATTTATTAATTAAATTATTAATAATAGTATTAACAATAACAATAATAATGATAATAATAAGAATAATAATAGGATGATGAAGAACGACTGTAACAATAACAATAATAATAACCATAAGAATGCAAAACAGAAAAATAATGGAAAGATTAAGAACCACAAAGATTCATCATTACTGTACTGTATCACTACAACCAATATCACACAATGTTAAATTACCTGTTTGAAATAGTAAAGGCAGTAGGCAGGAAGCTTAAGAATCTCATACGTCTGACCGAGGCCATACCATGCTCTGTAGTCTCTTCTGTTAACATCTGTTCACAAAATGACAGTGGATTAGAAAAATATATTGTGTTGTACAAATTCAAAAGTAACTATAGCTGTAGTTTATAGTCCCAAATTATAATACAATGCAAGTCAGTAATAGAAAAATAACAAAATTTGATTTCTTATGAAAAGTACAACATAACAAGAACTGTAACATAACTATTACAGTAATAATATCAACAAATATCATAACAGTAACAGCAGTAATAATAGCCATAAAAACAACAATAGTAAAATCAAGACTGGAAATTATAATCAAATCTACATATCACACAAATCCCAAATTTAAGCAGAACAAGTAAGTAGCCACAATTAATACCTATAGCTTGTCGATAACACTGGATTGCTGCGCTTGTGTTCTTCATCTCCATGTACTCATGGCCCATGAGTGTCCAGGCAGCTAGATAATGAGGGTTAAGCCGCAGTGCTCTCTGGAAGTACTGTACAGCCTTCTCATGCTGTGAGCGCAAACTGTAGTAGTTTCCTTTGGGGATGAAGAAAAACTGTTAGATATCACATTTTCTTTGATAGGTATTGATATAAGAATCATACAAGAAAGATATGCAAACATTAGTGAATTCTGAAAAATGGAAAATAATGGGGAGGAACCAAACAAAATAAAAATGATTAAAAGATATAATGGCCAGAAATAAAAAATATTTGAAAAATAAACAAGATATGAAAATCAAAAAAGTAATGATTAAAATAAAAACAAAAAGCAATCAATAAAAAGCAGTAGAAAATACTCACACCCCAAAAAATATATACATATATGTAAAATGCTGTCATTGAAACTATTTTCCAGCTAGATCTAGCTTTTTTGGACTGTAATTAAAAAAGGATACAGCAGAGGCTGCCAGAAACAACCATCATAGTCTTCAGCCTGATGAGAAGTTAATATGCATTTGTGTCTTTTTTGTAAATATATCTCCATCATTTAACTACATGATGAACCTAAGATTAGGAATTTATGCTTCCTGAATGTCACAAGTGGACCGTATAAACTAACAACCATATACATACCTATGACGCAACATGTTTCCACCCGGTACTTATCCACTTGCACTACCCTGTGTGCCAAGTGTGAGAGCTCCACCCGCATTTCTTTGACGTAAAGCAAGTTCGAGTATGTGTCTAGGTTGTTTAGACGGAATGGGTCAAGCGACTCTAGCTCGTTGAATATCGCCACAGCTTGATCAACCTCTGTAAAAAATAAATTGATTGCTTATTAACTAAACATAAAAAAAGCAATCAAGAACTTCAACAGTTGAATCTATCAATGGTTGAGAGCAAAAGAGGAACCTGTGTAGAGGATCCATGAGAAAAAGAATCCAGAACATAATAAACTTATTTCTTATGAATGCACAATCACAAAAAATCTGGAAAGCATCAACACACATTTTACTGGAAGTACTCTTACCTCTCTGATTGTGGTGCGTAATGGCTACCTGAGCCATGATATATGTGGAGTGGGAAAGACCAGCCTCCTGTAGGCCAGTGTAGATCTCCAAAGCCTCGTCATTCAGTTGCAGTTCCAGGTACGTGTGTGCAAGGAATAACTTGCGCATCCAGTGATCTGGTAGCTTCAATGTGCTCAACTATTGAAAAATTCAAAGTTAGTTAGCTTGATAAAAATGTAGTGCCTTATTGCAACACAAAGCATTAAAAACAAAACATTAAATAATTGTCTAAATACAAACATACAACATTGCACTCTTAACTTAATTTCATGAAAAGCACCCACAGATTCCAAAATCCCAATCAAAATAGCAGTTTCCTCAATACACCCAAGATATCACAATCAATTGAAAAAAAAAGAAGAAAGAAGAAGAAAATACAAACCATCTCTCTATCAGTGATAAGTGCAGCCAACTCGAGCCACGCACCCCAGTGGAGGGGCTCGAGGTGGAGGGCTTGGCACAAGACTTCAACCGCTTGTCTTGTGAGGTCTAGGCGCTTGAGAACTACCCCATACAACCACAGCAACCATGCGTCAATCTCACCCTCACTGGAAGAAACCATTAGAGCAATGAAGGTGACAAATTTATCGGATCTTAAGCTGTCCTAAATTGCTTTCAATCTAAAAACTTACATGGAGATTTCTTGATTCCAAAATGATGGAAAGAGAGAACTATTAAAGTAATCATGAGGATTTTTTGGTAAATATATCTAATGGAGAAGGAGAAGGAGAAGGAGAAGAAGAGAGGAAAGGAGCAGGAGATGAGAAAGAAGGAGAAGGAGCACAGGAGGACAGAGAACAGAGGAAGGAGACAGAGGAAGAAGGAAGGAGGAAGGAGGAAGAGGGAGGAGGGAGGAGGAGGAGGAGGGAGGGAGAAGGAAGGAGGAAGGAGGAAAGAGAAGAGAGATGGGATGAGGAAGGGGTGGATGAAGGGGAGGAGGAAGGGGAAGGGGAAGGAAGAGAGAAGGACAAAGAAAAAAGAGGCAAAAGTGGAAGAAGAGGGATATAAACGTTGTCTCTAACCCAGATTCTGGTGCAGATGAAGTGTGCTGCTTGTACATCTTTGAGAGTTCGGTGTGTAGCTCCTTCAGGTATGCTCCTTTGTGCTGGTCGTTGGTCACTGGGCCAAAGAGAAAAACAATATTGGGAGTGTTTCTTTTAAGTTCCAGCTCTTGACTAGGCTTACAGTGAATGTATGCTATCTGGTAAATTGAAACAATGACAAGGTTTATTCTACAACTCTTAACGTTATAAAGACAAAATCATTCTTACAAAAAATTATCTGCAACTCTGTCAGATTATGCAATGAAATACTTTAGTCAAAACTTTTTTGGACTGCACCAGTATAATAAGAAATAAACAATACACCTACAGTAGGTACACATACTCAAGCATATGTACAGCAATAATACCAACCCATAGAACCAAACATAAAATTTTCTTAAAACCCTTTAAAACAAAGGAATTTAAGATGATTCTTATGAAAATTGCCAAAGAAATTTCTAACATATTAGCACTTCTAAATCTTAAGCAAAACCCGATGATACCAAAGCATAATAGCTATAAAAGATTCATAAACGATATAAATATAAAAGATAACCTATATTCACATCAATATCTATCTTCACAAATGAGATCTTCACGGATAACACAAGGAAAAACTGAATAAAGAAATTAACTGAAAACCTATCAATCACTTTAATAAAGGCAACAGATAATTCAAATGTAAGTTATAACATACCCAATGGATCAACAATATCCTCATTCTTTTTCTTCTCTCCGGAAAGGTACTGCGAATATAAGTGTAGAAACTTCCCTAAATCTGTTGTACAGTCTTCGGTAAAGTAGGCACATCTGTGGGGAACATGGCAAAGAATAAATAATCTAATTAAGCAAATACATTCAAAAATTTTCTTTCCATATTTAATATATATGCTAAACAGGAAACTCAACACTGTAAACATTTTCCGTGAAGATTGTAAATAAAGACTATGAAATAATTTTCAGTAGTAATAACAACTGTCAGTATAAAAGAATAAAACAGTTATAAAATGGGTGATAGATGACTGCAACATCAAAGGCTACACTGAATCATAATACTCAGAACCAAATTCAGATATAACAGAAAAAAAATCTTATGCTTGATATGACATACTTCTTTTCTAGGATCCTCAAAAGAAGAAGAAAAAAATGCAATAAAAATCATAAGTGACATAGAACAACACCAATCAATCTCACCTGTCATATTCTTTTAGATCAAAATACGACTTTGCTAGATGATAGTGGTCCAGCTCTTCTCCTAGCTGATCATAGTAGGTGTGTGATGATGGCATGGGCTCGTCTAACTTCACATCGCGGACACAGTACAGGAGCTCACTCAACCTTGGGAAATACAGACGATCTTGAGATACACAGGAGAGTTTGGAAACAGAGAGAGAGAAAAAAAAATAATAATAAATAAATTACAATAAGAAAATGACAGTCCTAAACTGACAAGAGTTTACCAATTCTGTTAAATATTCTGCATAGTTTAGAAAATGGTAGTCAGTCTCTCTCTGGGGGAGGGGATTACTCCATTGACATCAGGAAGTCTAATATATACCCAACATGGACAAAAAGAGCCTCACTCCATGCCCAAGATCTTCAGGGTATGTGGTCTCTAGTATGGTCCAGTACTGGAAAGTTTTTGTACACACTGAAGGTCTACACCAACATGTTTATAGCAGTAATATCCACCAGACATTAGTGTAAACTATCTTATTCCATGCCAAAGATCTACAACGCTTGCTTTGTAATCAAATGTTTGTAAACCTTTCACTTTTGTTTAACAGCCTGTGTCAGAATGTGGCCTCGGAGTCACTGTAAGCACCCTTTTTTAATGCATGGTGTCTGCATGCTTGACTTTTTTTTTTTTTTTTTTTTCAAGATAACACTCCATTTATTGTCTGAAGCGCTGGTGTCTCCACTTTCCTCCATCCTAATGCTTGCTTCATAATTAACTGTTTGCATAGCCTTTCACTTTTGTTTATTACTGCATGAATTTTGTAGTGCTTCTAATGTTATGAATTATTTAGAAAAAAAAAAGTGAAAATAATAATGAGGATACTACAACTGCTACTACTGCTACTACTACTACTACTCCTGCTCCTACTCCTACTCATAATAACATTAACCTTAATAATAACAATAACAATAATAATAACAATAAACAATAAAAAAAATAAAAATATAATAAAATAATAAAACAATGATAATAACAATCAATAATCAATGATAATAATAGTGATTATGATAAAGGTGTAGATAATCATAATAATATAGATGCTGATGATATAGTTGATAATGATGATTGATGATTGATCAATGATAGCCCATATATTTGCTCAGTATTTGCCTCTGGACCCCCACCCGATCACCTTGAACTTAGCCTCCATACAGTAAACATACGGTACCTTGTAAATATGGCTGTATCAAACTACTAAAATGTATTAAGTGCTAAAATATATTAAGGTGGAATCCAATATGACTATTCTCTTGCACTGATTCGGCTTATAGAATCAGAACGCAAAATATCAAAAACAAATCTAAAGCCAATCAAGACCTGGCAAAATCTAGAATCTAAACAAAAATGTCTAAATCAATCCCAGAATCTAAACACAAAATATTAAAACCCAGAAGCCAGAATCCAAACACAAAATGTCAAATTCAAAACTAGAATCCAAGCACAAAATGTCAGAATCAAGCCCATACCCAAAAAGTACAAAACATCAAAGATAAACCAAAATCCAAAAACACAAATAGTCAAAATCAAACCCAGATCAATAAACAATAAGGAAGTGACTACGAGTAAAGCAGATAAGCCCCCAATTCCCCAATTAGTGTCCTGTGCACGTGTGGGGAAACAAACGATATGGCAGCAGCTGTCTCGGCACGAAGACAATAACACTCAATAAGTTTAGGTTTATACTTATTACCTGGAAATAATGTTTACGTGCGCATGTACCCATGTATGCCGTACACCTAACTGCAAGAAGTCTGATACTGCCGCCATCTGCATAACACCAGCCAAACAATAAACATAAAAATTAAACCCAAAACTAAACACAAACATCAAAACCAAATCTAAAATCTGAATACAAAATGACAAAATAAAAACAATACCCATAAACAAAATGTCAAATCAAACCCAAATTTAAAAACAAAACATCAAAATCAAACCAAGAATCCAAACAACGTCAAAATCAAAACCCATTTACAAAAAAAACACAAAACGTCAAAATCAAACCTATATCTAAAACAAAATAATAAATATCAAACCCAAATTTCGGACACAAAACGTCGTAATCCAACCCAGAATCCTGCCAAGACCCATCAAAACCAAGACCAAAAACAAACACAAACGTCAAAAACTTTTATCACGGAAAACGTCTTTGGAAACTCTTGCTTACCACTTCGTCGTCTGTAGGAGTCCTCGGAGGTAACACTGCTCTCTGGCCACCATCACGTCCTTCTTCAGCGCCCGCAGGAACTCCATGTCTTTGTGTGGGGGCGAGGAGGGTCTTCCCGGTCGAGAAATGTCCTCGAATCTACTCGAGGACTTGTCAGAGAGGTCTTCGTGTCTCGCCATTGCCT